AATGCAAGGCTGCCTGTTATCAAGGTCCCCTCTTACCAGTCATGGCTCTTACTTGATCCTCGACTCCTTCGGTCCCACACAAGTCTGGTTTGGTCTGAACGGACTGTGAGGGTCGCCTCGGGTGCCATCTGGCACTGTCCTCCTAGATTCTGACTCTGGTTTATCATTGTTCCCCTGGCTCGGACTTGGATCTGATCTAAAATCTTGCTGTAAACTTCAGCGTTTGGACCAACTCTGTCCCAAACTCCTTACATCCGGATCCAGGTTCTCAGCTTTGACTTTCTTTGGGCCACTTGGCTCAATGCTGTAGATGTTCTTTATTCTGTGTTGCTAGTCTTGTTATGGTTCGCCTGGCCCAGGGTTCTTCCCTACCAGCTGTTGTGTACAGAACCAGCCCTGAGAGTTATAACAAGGCCGCGCGTGGCAAGAGAAGATGCTAGGAATCAAGGCTCAGTCCAGGAAGAGTATCTGGTAGAATGGCTCTAGGGTGTGAATTTATGGAAAGGAGAAATACTCCCCACCCCTGCTCAACAGATAGAGCCTCAGACCCTCTACCATGACCAATTTTTTTCTTGTTTATTTAGTATTTAATTTCCAGTGCTCACTGTAAGCGTCTGTCATTTAGCCTGGAAGGCTAGGAAGTCGCTCCGACAACATTCTCCTGTTCCCCAGCAGAGCCTGTTTTGATGGAGGGGCAGGAAGAAGAAACTGACACTATGGACGCTACGCTGGGTTCTCTAGATTTAACAGGGATGTGCAGGCAGGGAGGGCTGGGGGAATCACGGCTACCGCGGGGGTAATTACCTGTGACCCAGGCAGTCACCAGCACTTTCTCCACGCGAGCTTAGATGTGCAAACTTAAGAGATCTTTATAAATAACAGGCATTTGTATTAATACTGTAAGAAGTAAAATTTGGATCCAACGCATCAAATAAGCTTACCTACTGACAAACACACAGCACAAAAATATAAACCAAAATCCTGTAATCTCATAACTTGGGGTTTGGGGAAGGGATCTCTCACTATCATTTAACTACAACTCGCACAGAAAAACAAAGAAGTGACATTTCTGCTTGGTCCTCTCTTTAAAGAGATCCTTTTTAAACTGTATGCAATTTCTTCCAAGTTAAGGTGCTTATATATCCTGTTTATCATTTTCAGGCCCAAGAATACAATGTGTTTTGGGGCAAAACTAAGGCATTCAGTGTTTACCATAGTTGACATCGTTAACGTGTATTATGTGATACTCTTGCTTTCTCATTTGTTCTTTATTCTGTTTTGGGTTCCAAGATGCTATTTCTTTTAGTCCTGTTTGATCTTTTTCAGACTCTTTTTGTTTCCACTCATTCCTTTGACCACCAGTGTTGGTGTTGCTATGAATTTCGTTCTGTCTCTCCTCTCCCACTATACATTCTTTCTAGGTGAACGCATCTATTATTTTGCCTTCAGCTACTCTATAATAATTCCCAAATTAGTATTTCGGCCCAAACCTCTTGCCTAGGATCCAGACATTTATATTCAACTGACTGTTGGACAAGTCAGCAGCTTTTTAATTGCCTTCTCTGCTTCTAGCCGTTCCCACTTTCAGTTCATTCTTCACACTTCTGACAGTGATTAGGTTGTCACTGCCCTACTAAAAGTTTTCAATGACTCCCCCACTGCCTTCGGCATTAAAAAAATCTAGAGTCCTTATTATAATGTGCGAGAGTCTCTAAAATCTAGTCCAATCGCATCTCTCTAAACGTAACAGTGGTCCTCGGAACAAGTCCTCTGGCCTCCCAAGCTTTTAGACACATTGAAACATATGGAAAACTGTTCTCAGTCACGCCTGTTATGGGAATCATTCCACCTGTTTCAAAATGAGCTCAGCTGGCAATTAAATTCCATTTTTATTGAGAATATATAAAATGCCAGGCACTAGCAGTCTGAGAGTTCCTGTGGTCATGGAGTTTATATTCACGTGTGTGCATGTATGTGTGCGTGAGTGCATGTGTGTGTGTGTGTGAGGTGGGGGAGAGGTGAGGGACCGGGGAGGTGAATAAATAAATAGGAAACTCTTCAGTAGCAATAAAGCTTATGATTACAACAAAAGAGGCTGATTTGACAGTAACTAGGGAGGTGTCTTTAACTGCACAGCCAAAGACTTCTCTTTAGGAGGAAGGGATATTGAACCTGAGGCTCCCTCTTGGAAGCTATTGGTACTCTTCCTCCACCAGCTCACGTCTGTCAGAGCACTCATCATACTATTTTTAATTCATGCTTTTACCTGAGCAGTTCCATCTCTCTATATGCTCGCTTCTTGATGGGAAGAACTCTGTCTTTTCAATTTAAATCTCTCCTAATACAAAGCCTGGCACATAGTTGATGTTGAATAAAGATTGCTAAATAAATCAGTCAATGAAATTTATTTATCCAGCTCTCACATGATGGAGAGAAAAAGGAAGGAGGCTTCATAGAAGTTTTCAGGACCAAACAGCAATTAAATTCAGAGGGACAGGGGTGAGGGCCCCAACGTCCATACCACATACTCCAAGTTCAAATGCTGAAAGGAAACGGATGGCAGAGCTCACCCAGCCGTTGGGTATGACGCCTGTGTTTACTCCTTCCCAAGTTCTTCTTATGCCTCGATTCTGGCTATTCCTCCATTTGTTTTCTCCACACCCAGAGGTTACCTCATCTTCCTCAGACATTTGATTCCTGCTTCCCTGCTTTCATTTCCCCAGAGCCTGACTTCAGTTGGCCTGAATTGGCCTCTGGCTTTAACTACAGCTACAGGAGTCTCAGCTTTTTCTTTGGTATTCACAAGCTAATGCAGTGGCTCTTCTTTGTCCCTGCTGTGATGGCCTCAGCTTTGTTTTCTGGTTTATACAGTCTAAGAATGACTATGAATTACCCGCTCAGTCACATAGCACCATTCCTCCCTTAAATAAATCCCGCTTTAAAATCTTAGTATTCTCCATCCATAGTGTGACCACATAATTTGCCATCGAAACTGAGACTTTTTTTGAGAAGGAAAAAGAAGATGCTTTGGATAGTCAGAGAAAGCAAGTGGACAACCAGGTTTGGTGGACACCCTCCTTCTAGTAGTTTCTGAAAGAGTCTCAGCTGCCACAGCGACTTCTCTCTGGACTCTCTGCCATTCTGGCCAGACTGTTCCCTTGCACTGGAACTTCCCCTTGGGGTTCAGACCTGACCCTCTGAGCGCTGAAAGAACTTTCCAGGATTTATCAGTGCCTTGGGTAAAGATTCATATGTGGAAACTTCTAGTAAGAGTGATAACATTCATAGACCTCTTATAAGATAGGCATTGTGAAAAGCATTATATGTTTTATTGTTCTTTTTAAAACCTAGTGAAAGTTTGTCCATTTTAGAGCAAAAAAGAAACAGAGGCTTAAAGAGGTTCATTTACTCAAGGGCATACATCTCGTACACACAGAGTTTATATTTAATCCCACCCAGGTCTGTCCAACTGCAAGTGTTCATGTTCTAAAGTACTGTAATATAATCCCTCGCTGAAGTATCTTTTTTTAGAGAAAATACTGATCACTATAAATAATACATCCATAAACCAATCATAGGCATAAAATATTAATCTGAATTTAAAATGTCTTACCATTCTCTTTTTTTCCAAAACCCATTCCTTTATTTTCCATTTGACAGTATTTTAAATAGGAATCTACTTGTTCTCCATAGAGGAAAAATTATGAACTTTAAAATAATTGGAAAGAAATGTCATTATCAATTCCCAAAGATGAAAATAATTCAAAATCCCCAAGGGTTATTTTCTATGCTCAGACCGCATCTTTAGACTTCCTTTAATACAATCATAAAACTCACTTGGTTAATCTGTTTCTTACTTGCTACATCTCTGTTATTAACAGCTATCATAATATCGTTCACATAACCTCTATTTCCCAGACTAATGGGTCCCCAAAGTTTGGAGCTGCACATCTAAACAGTAAAAAACATGCAGCATGTGCTCTATAAATGCATGTTTAGAAACTGTGTCCCTGTTTCAATATAAATATAGAACGTACTCCAAAACGGAAATATAAACCATGAAATTAAAAGTAAACGTAAGTGCTAATAAGCTGCCTGTATCCCAAAGGGTTATCCTGTCTACTCCCTGAAAGCCCACTCAGTAAACTCGCCATTTAAACTAGTGCACCTCATGTTAATGTGCATACAGGTCACAGGTTCTGAGTGAGTGTGTGAACAGAGACCTGAGAGTCTGTATTTCTGACGCGCTCTCAAGTGATGCTAATGCTGCTCCCGTGCTGAATAACAAGAACTTAAACAAGAGATTACGGTTTAGCCAAACTTAGGTTGCTATTTTCCAGGGAATAAAGTAAACAGCTGATTGGAAAGTCAACTTTCCATTACCATGAGCAAAACTGAGAAAACCTACTTTTTAACCCATACAACAATTATTACACATATTAACCAATAACAGAACAAATGTGAAAGGTAAATGATAATCGTGCCTGGGCATATACTCGCTAAACTCAAAGTATCATAACCAAACTGATTAAATAAAATTGATTAAAATATATGTACTTTCATCTGCTTCCAACATGAAATAGTAGGCAGGAAACCTGTAATTAACTCTTATCAGCTAGCATTTATGTTTATATCAATGTTAACAGAGTCATAGCAATCTGGGGGCTTTTTTGGTTTGTTTTTTAGTTTTTAAATAAACGCAAAGTGAGAGCGGCCAGACAAAGTATACTATTTTAAAATCCTATCTTAAATTGACACATTAATAGGTCCTGACAGTTTAAATGTACAGCACTTTACCTGTGAAACACAGGCAAACTCAGAACACAAGCAGAAGAAAATCAGAAGGCATTCTGTTTTTTTTTTAACAATCTCACAGTTTCCTAACAAATCCTAAAGTTCCAACACCGCTGACTGCATGAGAGCCTCTCATGCTGACTCGCCGACAATTTCCAACAAACACACCCCACGAAAACTAACACCCCCGAATTTCAGTTATTTACCTTGTCAATCATTTTTCTTGCTTCCACTTCCTCACTGTTGGGATTCTCTAACTCAATGGTATAAGTACCCTTGTCACTTTGGTCATCATCATTATCCTTTTCAGAAGTAGCAGAAGTGGCTTGATTTTTTAACATTTTATCCATCTCCTGGCTGGGTCTGTGCCCGAGACTCCCTGAACTTCTTAACAATGCAGTTTGTAGGAAGGGAATGGACACCGCTGGCTCCTCTGATTTCTGTTTTAACAATTTCCCATGTGGAACACCATGCCCCCCTCTGTGATGCGCAGAGCTAGTCTGTAAAGACAAAGAAACCACTTTGGCGTCTGCTGTTGGAGATTTGGGTTTTTCAAGTTTTGTATGTGGTGCTGAATAAGTAGTGTCCTCACATAAGATTCCCGCACTCTGAGTAAAGGAATAGGACCTCCTTTTTCTGGGATTGTCTTCATCAAAGAATGCAATCATAAAAGCAGTTTGACTTACAACAGCTTGGTCTTGCTGCTTGTCGGGAGCCTGGGCCTTCTGCAGCTTTTTCTGCTCCGAGTGGTGGCGCCGGAAGTGTTCCTCAAGAGTCGCGCGCTTGCTGCAGCGCCTGTGGGCCCCTGCGTTTTCGGAATCGCTCTGTGTACCGTCGTCATGTTTATTTCCTGGGCACAAAAAAGAAACCGCATGATGGAGGAGGAAAAACTCCCATGTAGAAAATGAGAAGCATACACAAAAGTGTCATTTGTTTTGCCCCGTCTCCTTTTCAATCCAAAGTCATATGTTCTCCTCAGTAACAGGCTCTGCAAACTTCCCTGAACGGCAATGCTTACATTCAGATTGTATCAACCAACAATGAGCTCCTTTATGAACAACTGAATAGGACTGCCTTTCTTTCTCCAAATTTTAACTTTATAACGATGCATCAGTGCCTTCACGGGTCAGTAATGCTCTATCATCCATGATAGTCTGTATTTGCAACATTACTAAACATTAACCCTACCTTCAAAACTTATATCTTATCTAAGCGATGAGAAATGTGTGTCTAGCATTAGAGAGGAAACGATAGGAAGGGGCAATGTCACAGGAATCATTACACAGGAAAAGAGAATACAAACGCCATAAAAATGCGATCCGTCTTACTTTGGATGATCTACACTACATCCATAAGTATAGCATCCTTTGAGTTTCTGCCAATTGCTACACAATTGTTTACAGATGTCTTTCTAGCTATGAGAAGCTTTGAAAAGTTGCATTTGGGCTCTAAACTCTGGTGGGACTTCGAAGAGTTAAAGAAAGCATGCTAAAAGGTCCATCTATAAAATCCTATATAGATCTAAGCATCTACTGGGTTTGGTGTTAGACAAAACCATAGAAAAATCTACTTGTCTTCACTATAAAGCAAACAGAGTCAAGTTAGAATATTTGAATTCTGAAACATCAGCTTTCTAACAGAGTTTTGCTATCCTTCATAGGAATTAAATGTAAAACCTATGAAAATTACTTGATTTTTCACCAATTGAGACTTCTCATTACATAAACATAAACAATAAGAACATTAGAATAGTTAAATAATTATTATATTATGATAGCATAAAATTAATAGAAAGTCAAGAGTTACTCTCTGCATGTTTAAAGCCAAATCACAAATGAAGGCTAAAATGCAGGCTTCTTTAGAAGAAAGTTACGAATGGATCGAGTCAGCCAGGTGCACTCCAGTCCTTCCAGGACTCAATCTGATTTTGACATGTTCCTGGGCTACAGATTTAAATATGATTACTTGCTGAATAATGTGGCATCAAAGACAATGATCAGAATAAAAGACATACAGGCTAGGAGGGACAAAACATATATGTCCTAGGAAACAGTTGAGTTTTAACACTCATGGGCTCGTTCCAATAAATTGAGAGATTATCGATTGGTGCTAATGATTTAATACAAGAGGGCTAGCTATAAAAATGTGATACATAAAGGGAGTGAGAAGCCTCGGTAGAGAGAAAGGTGAAGCGCGTAAAAGAGGGCAAAGTTCTGGAAAGTGGACAAGGAACCCAAAGGGAGTGGGGACCAAAATGAAGGGTTTAGGGGAGCACTCCCTGCACATCGATGGTGAGTAATAGGATAAACCTCAGCTACGACAACAAATCGGAGACTTCCTTTCAATTAGGAACTATTCAAAATGCAATCTGGAAAGAAAAAAAACATTTGTTTAATTAATAGACTCCTTGCCTCAAGTAATTAAGGCAAGAATTAGGACTTGCACATGGAATGCAAAAATAAACAAAATCACTAGTTCGAATACAAAACTCATTAAAAACATGACCTTTTACCACCTATGTCATTGTTACGGTGGGTATATTGAAATGAAAGGCAGTTTGTAAGAGCTCGCTATAACTAAACTCCAGTATTTCCTGCATAGGAAGCGCAAATAACGCGTATCACAGACACACAACATGGAAACGCCATTTCTACAGAATTTAGTTCTGGTACGAACATTTAAAACTTGGCACTTAAGTGGCATCAAGCCCTTTCAGTATCTTCCCTTGAAGTCATAGTTTAAAAATTCTATTTTAATGTGGAGAGTAGCCATTTTCTTTTTTGGAAAATTTATTATTTCTTCTTGTATTCCTCAGTGTCACACATGGTGAGACATCTGATTAGAGTTGCAATTTCTGTTTTCACTCAACAACAAAAAAATCCCTAGGAACCTCTCCCGACCGAGTTTCCTCCTCTCTGTTTTGTCTGTCCCTAACCACGCCTAAATAAGCCGCAGTTCATTAAGTGTCCTTTAAGGCAGGCTAGCTGGGCCAAGTCGGTAGCTGTGGCCAAAAGAAGTTGCAACTCTCCTTAAGGGTAGAAGTGGATGGGCTTTTGGGAGAGTCTTCACTCTCCCAAAGCACGTGCACTATACTCTTGCAGGAGCAAAGTTTTTTTTTGTTTTGTTTTGTCTAGCCTACTTGCAAGTTTCTGGTGGGGGGGGGGGAATCAAATGTCACTTGTAAATATATCTGGAGCAATACAATGAATATATCTTGGACCAACTGAGTTATGTCCACAAAGATATTTTTTTAGGTGGTTTATAAAATGGTATGAAGGCATATTCAAAAGCGGGGCTCTAAGCAATGGCAACATAGAATATATATCTACCTCTAAATCATCTTGGAGGAATGATAGTAATTTGCACAATTTCTGATAAGGTTTTCAAATACATAGGGTCCGGCACAAATAACGCCCCTTTTTTATTACAAAATCTTTTATTATAAGATCATAAGCATGTGATTCTGTAACATTACACTGTCACATTCAAGCACACCATAGGACATTTTAAGTGAAATGTACAAGTTGCTGTCTATCTCGTGTGAGACATTCACGTGCCCCACGAACCACACTCAAGCAGGCGTTACTTCTGCCGGACCCCGCGCAATCATCCAAGTAGAGACGGAGTGTGAACGTGAGTGTTAATGCCGCTGTCTGGGATCAGGCTTGTTCAGGAACAGAGCACGCCACAGAATGACGGCTTAAAAACAACGGCGAATATAGAAAATAGTGCTAATGGCTGAAAAACAGTTACACTAAAAGGATATTTTTAAATGGTCGCTTTCAAAAAGGATCTTTTAGTTCACTTTTTATACATGTATTAAGAATGGTTTTAAAAAGACGACGTTAGTTCTAAATTTTGAAGGTTTATGCTACCTTGTACATTATGCTAGAATATCAGTATTATTTATCCAATTCATAAAACTGGCCGGTTTACAAATGGGTAGCTTCTGTTTGTGAGCTTTAACCTACGCCTACATATATTGGTCTCAACTCTCTATTTAATATGATCTAGTAGAAGTGAAAGATAACAATCACGTGTCAAAGCACATACACTAGGTAATTGCTTATGAATATAATCAGATAGAGCAAGAGGCCTCAACAAAGATGTAGGTAAAATCTCCTCATCTCACTATCCTGAAATACCTTCGAAGCAAATCAGAAATAGGTATTGCTTCATTCCTTGATCAGATTCCCAGGGCAGGAAGCACGAGTTAAGCAAGAGCCAGTCTTGTCATTGATTGTTTATTCTAATCTCTAGGTACCTATCACATAGTCAAGTCTCAGGTGACTTGTTAGGAATACGAGGTACGTAATATATTGTCTCTGACCACAATGAGCATTGTTTTAAATGCTCATTAACTCCTTGTGTAGTAACAGAATAATCAGGTTAACATGCCACCATTTCCCTTATAGACAGCTTGTTAAATAAAATACAGAGTAACACAAAACTGTATTCAGCAATTCTAAAGTAAATTTAATTAGTGAAACCATTGGAAAAAATTGATTAGCTAATACCTCGATATGCAGATACAAACACTTTGCAATTTTTGGCTATGTGTTATACTAGTAAAGCATATATGTAAAGTATTACACAAATAAATTGTGATTTTCATAAAAGTCTATTGAAAAAAATTTAATTCAATTAATGCCCAGAAAGTTACCTCTACACCCAATTTTTTTGTTTCATGAGTAACCACTGAGACTATTTTGAAACACCCTGTCAACAGTGTGGCTATATTATCAAAGAACTTTTGACCCATTGTCAAATGGCTTAAAATTTCTTTCAAAGTTTAGATATTGATAATTTACTGGAAGAATCGCAGTAGAGAAGAATAAAATTGAATATCTTTTCCTTAAGTCAAGAAAACGATGAGAATTGTCTTCTAGGGAATTCTACTGGTGAACTGAATAAAACCTAGATTTCCACAGGAAAAAGAGACATATTTAATGGCATAAATCTAAATTAACAAAACCAATCTGGTTTCGGCAAGAAAATGGAAGCTGATTATTTTGAATGAGTGAGCTGGACATGGGCAGTATAGCTTGCTTTTGAGCTTTAAAATGGAACATAAACCTTGGCAAAAGCAGTTCTCTGCCTCGTAACTACTTATCTAAAAGTAGCTTGGTAACTGTGAAGACTGAATTTTCTTTATCATAACATAAGGAGTTCTGAAATGATCAATTCACTTTACCTTTCAACCTTTTCAAGTACACTGGGACGTCACTTTTAATACTTTTGGAATCCTCTTCTGTCCTTTCCCAGATCATCTGCGGAGGGTTGTTCTGGGCTAGCCAGTCAGCGACTTTGTTTTCTGGTGCTATCATTCCAGTCTGAATCCCGGGCAGGTCTTGGGTTCCAGGAGAAGACTTCTTGGACTTGTGGCGCTGCTCAGAAGTAAATTTTGTCACATGGTCTCTAATAGTTACCTTCCCTGGGGTACTGTCATCAAATTCAATGGTAAAGGAAGCATGCCCTGCACCTGTTGTATGGGAACTCGTTGTGTCTTTTGTTGGGATTTCATGAATGGTGCTTTCAGTTAATTGTGATGGTTGCTGGAATTCTTTTGTAGGGATTTCAAAATAACTTGGTTCCCTACAGAAAGGAAAAAGTACTTCTTCATTTGCAGCTGCAGATTGTTCCTCAACTTGCTTGGCATCTAAATTGCACCCTAATGAGAAAAATAAGAGACAATTCAAAATACTTGGGAGCTTCGAGCATTCGAAGGAGTATAGCAATGGCCATTTGTATTTCAAGAGAACCAGAAGTCAGATCACAGAAGTCAGATGAAAAACAATGGCAAATGGCGCAGAGATGAAATCATTTTGATTGTAAACATGGCACTCAGTTACCAACAGGAGATGCAAGATAAGCAGCGGCAGCGGCAAAGGAGAGCAAAGCAGCTAAGAGATGGATCTGGAATGGCTGGGGCCGTATTTTTTCCAAGTTGGATCTAGACATAATTGAGATGCATGTTCAATGTAGATGAAGATGCATGTCCAATGTGTATATTATAGATCTCAAGTGACAGAAAAAAATATGAATTTCCTATCAAGTAAGGAGAATGAACTGAATATCTGTGAACACACGCAGAGCTCCAAAGGAGAACAGTATTCAAGCGAGGAAACAAATGTGAAGTCAATAATGTAAGCAATGTTCTAGAAGTAATGATTCCACTTACCATTTTTTACCATTACATTCAGAAACATTACTTTTAGAATAACCAAATAATATACTGATGTGTGATCCTTGCAAGAAGATACATTTTATAAAGAATAAAAGGATGTTAAAGACAAAATATGTGGTTTGCTTGCAGCATTGCAATCCAAGCAGCAGTGTGAAGAAAATAAGATAAAAATAGAAATTCAGATGCCAGCCATTAATTGCAGAAGAAAACTCGTGTACATTTCTATACAACAGAATATGCACAAGTGTCAAAAATCCTGGGAGAAAAGCTAAACTATAAATCTCAGATCAGCAATAAGAGTTGGCAGAAGAAGCAAAACAACTCTGGAACACTATCATTACTCTTTTGTTGCCCCAGAAATGAATATAAAGGTATAAAAATAAACACATACATAAAATATGTAAAGGTATAGAAATGAAAATGATTGAAATGTTTTAAATATGTGCTTTCAAAAGTGCAAGTGCAAAATATATATATATATATACATAAAAAAGATTAAACTGCTCTGTTTTTCAGGAAGCAAGTGACCATGTCTATTATCGACATGGTAAAGAGTGAGTTCAAGTGCAAACTATTTCCCCGAAAGCTCAAAAAGCGTTCCTTTTAAAAATAAATTCATAGCAAAGCCATTTGCAGGTCATTTATTAGGAAGAGAGAGCAATACAGGGATACCAAGTTGTTTCCAATCATTTTCTAATTAAGTGAAGTATTTGTTCTTTTGAAACATCTTTTTGGGTATTGAATCTTGATGGGCTTCTTCCGGGGCTGCGATGACTCCCTGGCAGTAAGTACTCTGAATGCGAAGCAATTACAGCGCTTTGCTTTTAGGTCACAGAGAATTGGGCAGCAACATTTCTGTAATCAAATGTGTGGCCTGGGGTAGGGTATGGAAGACATCAAGCTTCATTTCAAAAAAAAAAAAAAAAGGCAAAAAAAATCTACACAGGAAATAAAAATATCTAACAGAAACAACAATGTAAAAATAATCCTTTTCAAAATCTAATTAGGTTTTCACCACTGAAAATGAAGAAAAATTATATCAAGAAAAATTCTGCATTATCAAAGCAAATATTTTACATGCTTTTTGAGAGAGGTTATACAAGAATCTTAGAGTCACATTTAAAAGTTTTATTTGAAAGTTAATTTATTTTTTTCTTAATAATAAAATGTGCACTTGGATTTGAGTATTTACTCTGCAATCCTGTCACTTAAAATTTCCATAAAATGAATTAACCACTCCCCATATATTAATAAACACATTAATAAATGTTATTTTTTACTTTTTCATACATTGACTGATTTACTTCGTACAATGTGCTGTACTCGATCAATTGCATACAGTTAAATTGGTTTATAAACTGCACCACGAACATATATAGTCACTCACTCACTCACTCACTCACTCACGCATTCTGCTTTGCTCATCCTTCAGATAACAGAAAATGCTAGGGACGAGGGGTGGCAGTTTCCCACTAGCACCACCTGGGTACCCCTATATACTGATGTGGCAGCGTTACTTAGCAAAAACCAGAGAAAGCTCGTCCAGGGACACATGATTTCCCATCCACTTGTCACTCAGCATTCAAAGAAATACTCTCCTCCTTTGTGAATGAAAAGCTCCCAGTTAATACTAACACACGTTCAACATGTGTGCACATTGTAACAGCAGAGATCAACAGTGCACACCACTTTTTTAAGGTTATCATTCCCTTAGTCCTACTTCAAAATGCCTTTTCTCCAAGGACTAGGAACCTAAGACTGTACAAGTTAACACCTAGTTTATCCAGGAATCATTTACCTCACAATGTCAAGTAGCACAATAGAGCGGGAAGGCAGCATGGTATGACCCGATAGTTATAACCAGGCAGCCCGGTTTAGTGAAAAGCAGGGATAAGCTTCAGCTCGGGTATGTCCTGTCTCTATCAGCCTTAGTCTTTATTTTCCTCACCTTAAAATGGGGAAATAAAATCTAGCCATAAGATTGTTGTAACTATTTAGTGAGATAAGTATATAATGAGATCATGTAAGTTACCCAGAACAAAGCCTGGCACAAGCAGGCACACAAATAGATGCTCCTCCCTTCCCCTCCCCCAAATCTCCAGCACAGCTGAGTATGAGGGAAACAAACAAAGAAAACCAAAAACTGAACTCTAAAAAAAACCAGGACAGATATGACAACGCCCATTCTCTCCTATTTGTGAACTTTACTAGAAAGGAAGGCCCTCCTGAGAGCCTTTATACTGTTTAGCCAGATTACATGCGGGGAACATGGAGGGATGGGGAAGGGAGGATCAGGGTCAGACAGAGTACAAAGAAGTAAGAGTCAAGTTATAGGGAGAAGATTAAAATGATCAAGAGCAGAGACATGGCTCAAAGAAGCACTAGTTTAGAACCACTCCGTGTACAACACTTATGTATATACAGCCCTTCAAAGTCTTCCAAGGATATCATTGTAACGTATCATAGTTGGATCTTCATCATTCCACATTCATAATGATTCCGAGTCATAAAGCAAAAATTGTAATTATATCCAGCCTTCTCTGCTTGAAAAGGCAGCGATATGGGTAATTCATTTCATAGAAATACATAAAATGGTTCAACTTTAAAAAAAAATCATCGGTTGTAAAAGTTAAGTTCAGTCATCTGGAAAATGCATTATGGAAAGGAATTATTTCTCTGAAGATAAGAAAAATAGGTCAAATGTGGTGGGCCTACTAAATTTGGGAAGTGTTGGCCTACTAGAAGAATTAGTAGGGGTCTTCTAAATATAGAGAAATAAAACAATTCTCCTCTCTTAGGACAAAGGTAGAATATATTCTGGAATTTACAAATTTAACATTCATTTCTTTCCAAAATCTATTTTGCTTATACTGAATTAAACTAAATAATATACTAACTTTATTTATCCTAATATTTTATACTAATATTGTATTTATACCAATAGTTATTAGTCTAAATTCAAGGTATTTAAAACTTTTTAATAACTGATTATGTTAGAATTAATTACCTTTACCTAAACCAGAGCAATCGCTGATAATATCCTTAACTTCTTAGGGTATTTTATTAATATCCTTTACTTCTTAAAGTATTTTATGATTATGTGACCTTTTGGGAAAATTGTACTACACATAAATTGAGGAAAAATGTTCCCTTCATTATTCTGTAGTAAATTGAGTAAAATATCATACTAATTCAAGATGATGCAGACTGTAATTATAAAGGCTCATTCTACGTGAGACATCCATCCAACCTACGACATACAAGTACCTAAAATAACAAAGACTGCTAAACCATTTTTGCTTGAAAGGAGTTACAACCGGTAAGTTTTCAACTTTAATTTGATGAGATTAAAAATCAATATAAAAGAGCCAAAAATCTCCTCACAGTTGTGCACACCTATGCAAAATGTATGCAACATTAAAGCCTTTCATTGTAACACAAATAAATCTTTAAACCAAGTTAGCAGGTAAAAAAGCATACCTGTAGCTACAATGAGGACTAATTTTTCTCTATAGAACTCAAAATATTCACAGAATTTCAGGAGAACTTGCTCTGACATACGTATTTGCTTCTAGGGTTTTCAGCTATTTGGTTAAGTCTATAGAGATCCTGGATACATGGGGACCCTCAAAGAGGAACAGCAAAACAACCACGTTGTAGATACTCGAGTATCCTTTCTGGAATGTTCACCTGTCATGATTAAGTACTGAGATTTTACATTCTAAAAATTTGTAACCAAGAAGAAAATGCCTTTCTGTTTTACCAAAAGAGAGCAGTTAGAGAAGAAATAATTAGACTAATTATTTGTATTTCACATTTTGAAAGATTTTTTTTATGAAAACACCTTAATTTCAGAATGATGAAATGAAATAACATTTAGTATATATTTTCAAGTTGATTCCACAGTTTCTGCTGGCATAAATAAATTATTTCCAGTCAGTAAACTGTTCCCCTCATCCTGTATTTAAAAAAACTACAAATGATAAATATGGAACAATATCCTCATACTGCGATGGGATAGTCTTATATAAGGAAGCAAGTGATACCCTGATAATGCTCTTAATCAGCTGAATCTGACAGAAAGCTTTAAGCTATTTAACACAAGCTATAAATCACTTAATTCCTTCTTACTCAAAAATAATCCCAAGATTAGGAGACAGTTTTTGTCTTCTGGCAGAAATGATACTCAATGAGAGGCCACACAAGCTGATAATCATTTAAGAATTTAGTTTCATTCACAAACTGGATGCTTCACAGGTTGAAACTTATTTTATCATGATGAAGTGTGAGGGATCAAGTTTTTATGCCAATTTAATTTTGGAGTATTTGTTTAAATCTTTGTTCTCTGTGAAGTATATCTTCTTTGGAGTGAGTGTGTGTGTGTGTGTGTGTGTGTGTGTGTGTGAATAAGTGTAATGGCTGCTGAAAAGTTAACTCCTTAGAGTTAAGAGCTGGACTCTAGAGTCAAGTTCTCTGGGTTCAAATCCCAGCTACATCATTTGCTAGCTGGGTAAGAAAATTCACATCGCTGCACCTCAGTTTCCTTACCTATAAAATGAGGAAAATAACACTGCCTTTAGGTGTTGCTTTGAGAATTATACGATTAAACATGTGCAAAGTACTTAGAAGCGTGTCTGGATAAGTAAGGACCACTGCAGTGTTAGCGATTATTAATAAATCATGGTTCTGCCTCCAGGACAAAAATCACACACACGCTCCATTCAAACGTTATTTTGTGTGTGAGGGGGAAGGAGTGGATTTTTAATAGTGAGATAAAAATCAATATCACAATTATTTTCAGAATCTGGCAAGTTAGATTTTGCTGTTTGCTTTTAAATTAGCCATCTAAAAAAATCAGTACATTTTTTCCCTCTTCTCTCTACTAGCTGGCTCTAGTGCACAGTGACGGTATGTGATCCATGAAATAGGGAATTTAAGTTCAGATAGGAAGGCACATGCACAAAACACTGAACGAAACTGTTACGTATGAGCAATGCAGACATATGGAGATATCATTTAGAATACTTCTCCAGCTGATCCATGTGTGTATATGTCTGTGGGAGAAAAGTGGGCAGGAATTAGTGTAATTTCTGTGGGAAGGCACAGGTGGCCAGTGCTCAAACGCAACTGGTAGTGGGACACAAGGCTAAGGAAAGTAGGACAAAATTAGAACTTTGACATAAAATCTGCTCGGCAGGCACAAGGCAGCTACTGTAGTGTTTTTCTTTTTTAATGAAAATAAAGCTTAGATATTTTATGCAAAATGAACTGTAGGAGGGTTGACACCGGAAGGAGGAAGTTCAATTATGAATTAGCGGGGGGGGGGGGGGGCTGGGGGAAGACAACAGAAGTAGGTAATGTATTAGGTGACAGGAAGGGAAGATACGAAGATTTCCAATGAAGCAGCCATTCTTGACTGCCTCTCAATACCCATTTCCTGGACCTGCTCCTACAGAACGCCACCATTCCCAGGAGTTTTATCCTTCCCTGACACAGCTCATGTGCCCCCGCTTAGGGCAAAACTAACTCCACATTCAGCTTCAGAAGAGGGGCGACGGGCTTAAGGACAGTCTCATAACCCTTGCCAGGGACTGGGTCAGAAATAAGCAAGTGGCCTACTCCTGAGCCTGTGAGAGGCCAATGAGATGAGAGGCATTGAAAACTTTTGGGAAAGTTCTTTTTCCAGCTGCTGGGAGTCTTCTGAAAGCCACCTCTGCTATTTTCTGCTGGCTGCGATCCAAGTAGCACAGCCCCCTGAAGGCTGCTGGGAGCAGCCGTTGTGTGTCAGGGGACACTCCCCAGTACACAGCCACTGTGGACAGAAGGGCTGGGAGAGCGAGAGAGACAGGCTAGCTGATGTCATTGCTGAGATGCGGCACTAACCAATCCTGAAGAGATTCAATTATTTAAGTCAGTAAATGTCTTTCCTGTTTAGTCTCAGGAAGCATTTCTGCTATTTGCACCTAAGGGCATGCTCCTTAATAGTGAGTTTCTGAGCTTGGGAATGAAGAGAACTGTGCTAGTCTTAAAAATGAGGAAGCTGCGCTGGGAATTTATTTGCAAAGTTGATAATTTCAGTTTAGGGCGCTGTACAGTCACGTTGAGAAAGCCAGCTTTCTGAGATGTGTCATGGAAAAATGAGAGCACACTGAAAGAACCATTACTAGTCTTATTCCCCAGCTAAACAAAAATGTTGTACTTCTCTTGTAGAACTAGGGTTAAAGGTAGAAAATTGAGGAACGCTCTGACAGAATCTACCCTTAACTCAGGCAGAGCTGGTTTTCCACACTGCTCCCTGGTGCCCGTATTTAATTCCTCCAGTTCTGGGTTCTTATCTACTGTTACTACGGATTCCACCTGCTCCAACCTTCTGTGTTTGTTTCTTTGCTAAGTCCTTATCTGACCAACAATTTATACTACCATTTACTACCTGAAAATCTTGCTTTTCTGGCTTATGGACACTTAGCTCAATACTATACCTAAGTGTCCATCAGTAGATGAGCAGATTAACTATGGTACATTTACTCCATGGAATACTACTTGGCCGTATAAAAGAAAATTTTACCCTTTGCAACAACATGGAGAAACCTGGAGAGCATTATGCTACGTGAAATAAGCCAGTCAGAGAAAGACAAATACCATATGATTTCATTCATATATATGCAGAATCTAATGAACACACTGAACTAACAAGCAATATAAAGATAGACTCACAGATATAGAGCAAGCTGACAGGTCTGGGGGGAGGGCAAAAGGGGGTAGACGGATAGAGCAAAAAAGAAAAAGGACTCACGGACATGGACAACAGCGTGGTGACTGCAGGGGAGGGGCTGGGTGGAAATGGAAGAAGGTATAAGGGGGATAAATGGTCATAGAAAAAATACAAAATAGACCATTAAAAAAAGAAAAATAAAAACACAATTATAGCTTTGTGAACATAATGAAAACATACCAAATAAGTTTGTGTCTACTACTTGGGTCCAACTGCGACTTTTTAATAATTATTTTAAAATACTTACAATGTCCAATTGCATTATTATCTTTCCCATTTTAACAACCTCATAAATAAGCTGGAAAAACATTTTTAAATGGTTTACAAAGATACTGGAATTAATAATTTCTGTGAGAATCAATCAGAATAAATGAATTTAAATTAAAATGTCAATACCAATAAAACATTCATCAGCTATTTTTTTTTTTTACGCAAACTAAAGAGCAGTAGATCTCTCTTTTAAGGGTACACAGATTTTTTTTGCTTGATAATAAACTCTTCCCAAAATATCCCCAAATCTCATCCTCTCGGATTTTTTTACCTGATGTTCCAGTTTCATGATTTTTTTCTTCTGGTTTGCCATTTGGCTTGAACGCTCTTTTTTCATCCACCTCATCATCTCCCCACCATGAAGGCTGCCCGTATAATGGAGTACCACGGGGCATGGCAGAAGTATCTGGAAAGAGGTGGGAAAAATCTGTCTAAAGCATATGAAGCAGAAAAACATATACGCTTTTGCAGGATGCTCGAATTGCCCGGTTGATTTATTAAAAGAACAACAAAGGATAGTCTACGTAGGTGAAAAGTACTTAAATTAAATAACTCAATATTTGTGTAAGACCCTATCGAATGGTGGACATGGCTAAATAAAGGAAATTTTGTACTCGCCAGCTATCTAAGCAATGCAAACTGCTGTAGCCCAATAACTTTCTACTGCAGTATAATCAGTTCTGTGGCATACAGAAATGACTCATTAAATCTAAATATAAAGATTAAAGTAAACTTTGGTATGAGCGGCCATTTAAAAAAATGTTTAAAGCCGTAGGGCATTACAGAGTATATTTAAACTAGCTGTTAATGGGACTAACAGATTGACATGTGAACGAATTTGGTGATGTCTATCCATTTAAAAAATTGTTTTTGTAAATTGTTATGTAAAAATTGTTATGTAAATAGAATTATTTACGTAAAGCATTTTTTACAGTTTCCAGCACATGATAAATACGATAATTATGACGAGGTAGCATCATTGGATACTTCCCACTAATTCATTTTGGTTATTATAATTCAGAAGTAAAAGCAAAGCAAACACGAATTAGTAAAAATGCTGTAGGCAAGTTACCTTTACTTCCCCTAAGACTGAAACATTAAATACACTTACATACAAATGTCATATAATGCGTTTTATAGTGCTTTGCAGCGAGACACTGGCTGCGTTAAAACCCACTGTGAAATTACCATTATCATTAGTATAATTATTTGTACATGGACATGGCCGAATTTCTGAGAACAAAGCCTGCCAGTTCTCCGCAATCAAGCACGAGTAAGATACTTCCTGCGGCGTGACCGTACCTGCGGCTTTCTCCTCCGCCTTCAGCGCCTCTGGAGCTTTGGGCTGTGCTTCTGTTGCGGTATCTGCTACCTTTGAATCCACGCCTTTGGCACACGCAGACTTTGATAATTCCGGTTCTGAAGCTTTCTGGGACAACTGAAGCTGAATGGTGAATTTCTCGTGCTATGAAATATTTAAGTGAAACATCCATGAGTGAAATCCACCCTAGCAAACGGTAGGTTTACAGAAGAAATAAGTAAAAGCGTTTTACCTTTAGCGCTTCTTCAGGGACCCTCATTTCTCCTCGTACTACAGTGAAAAGGTTTGTATGTAGTCGGGGCTAAGGAAGAATGCGATTTCGAAATTGTGCTATTATAATCAGGTAACTATAGCAGAATTATTATGCTCCCCGAAGAGTTAAACGTTAAACTGTGCTCGCGTATACAAAAATTTTCCTTTTTAAATACCAAAGAAAATCTTGAAATCTAGCATGTAATTCTACACTTAGGTAACGATGGCCTTCAAACAAACCCTTGGATCAATAATCAGAACACAAAAGACATTTTCAGTTCAATAATATCACTACAAAGAAGAAAAAGCACCTGCATCAAATTATATTCATAGGTAATCACAAAAATGTAAAAGGAAGTAGCTCATCAGTGATTACCCATCAGTAAATCCTGAAGGAATGAGATGACTCAGACTCTACCAGCACTGATAAAAATAAAGTTCATGTTTGAAAATGCAAAAGAAAGGCTATAATTAGGGTCTTTACACCAACCACAGCCGCCTCTTTGCCCCGTGAACTGCAATCAGGGTCGGCTTTCATTATCAAACAACTGATTCTATACAGATTAGACCCTAGTGCTGGATATAATGAATGCTTTCACTATTACGCCAAAAAAGAACAATGCCTCTGTATATTAAAAAGATCTCCCACTAAACAGTGGAGATCACATTTCCCACCATTGCTTAACCCTATAATGAAAGGACTTTTATAACCATGTACTAAATTTGATTCTTTACCAACGCAGAGCACCCATGACTTCAAGGGTAGAAAGCTGTAATTACTGTGATTACTTGGGGTCGGGGGAGACTTCTTATGCATAAGGAGCAGTACACTTGTAAAAGAATATTTAACCTATATTTCTACTCATTAAAATAATAAAAAGTAAGAATTTGGGGGGGAATTTTAAAGAGCTTTGGGGGAATATACTCTTCAATTCCATTAACCTGGCTTCCTATTCCATAGTTAATGAACTTGAGGATTAGAAGGGCAGAACCCAAAGACAATATTATCTACTCAACTGATCTGGTCTGGGACTTCCCTATCACTTTACATTGCTTCCGACAGCTGTGAAATATTAAAAATTTCCTTTTTTGTTATGAACATATGCTGGTACATATTATGCAAGTGTATATTTCATTACTAAGTATATTTAATGAAAAATAAAAGTCTACCCCCAAGAAACTTATGAACAGCTAGAAAAAACTTGTAACATTCTCACATTTTCAATGGAAAACAGAGTCTTTTAAAAACTGAAAGCCATTTCTATGTTTTCAATGGGAAACACAAATGGTTTTAGCTGGCTGTGAGGTTTTGTGGCACTGGCAGCCAACTCCTGGGCAAGCTTGAAGCCGATTCCCCAGGGCTAGTCTGGGGTGTCATCTTTGGACTGAGGCTCTTTTTTTTTTTTATTCTTGTTCAAGTACAGTTGTCTCAATTTTCCTGCAACCACTTTCCCCCGCCCCACCCACCCCCACCTCCCATCCTCAATCCTTCCCCACTTTGGCTTTGTCCGTGGGTCCTAACTGAGACAGGCCATGAACTTTACCTACCGAAATGTTCCTGCCAGTGGAACTACCAAAGAACTCAAGAATCTTCTTGTTTAGTTGCTGAATTTACCTGAGAACTCTGATATGCCTATATGATTCTGAGGCTGCCCTAGGCCCGAGCTTACCATCTTTCTAGTGGTAGAGACCTAGGTGATTGCCTTTAACTCTCTAATGAAGAAAAATGACAGACTAACGTACAATTATTCATATGTCAATGAGTTACAAAATATACAACACAGTATTATTTACTATAGTAGTATGTCAATTATATCTGAATATATAAAAATCCAAAAAAACTTACAAAAGTTTAAATTCTTGCTTATTAAAAATCATATTATTTATAGGCTATTTCTCTGTTTCTTTACATTAAGACTATGATTGTTATTCTAAGTTATTACTATGCGCAATTTATTCAGGAAATGTTTATCTAAAAATGGCATCATGGGAACTCATCTACATACTATACCATCCTTTATCTTAATGACAATTAAGGCTAAAAAGAAAGCAAAATTTTAAATTGTTTCAGTTATTCCTAGAGATCTGGCCTTAAAGCATGAGGTATCAGATACCTTTGTGAACACATCTTTCAAAAACTGTTTTAAAAATTAATTCATTACGTTGTTTCACTGGGGAAATATCAATCGCAGAAGAAATGAAAAAAATTTTTTTTGAATTTTTTAAATATTGCATAATGAGATTTTGTTACTTGGGATAAGATTTCCAATGTTTCAGAAAGTGCTATATTCTCAAACAACTGAGATGAGTATTAATATTTCCCTAAAAACTATGATATATTACTAAAATATATGACACATATGGTTTTGAAGATACTGATGAGAATATTTGAATATAATTATTTTATACAATGAAAGAATGGAAAGAAAGTACTTTTTGTAAATGTATGTATGTCATTTTAAAATATATTCATAAGAAGTTTATTCTTAAAAATTCACCTTAAAGTTAGCCAAATCTTTTCTTTTTGAGTCTTCTCATTTGGAAAATAAGAAATTTCCCTTATTTGATGATATCTGATAATGAAATATACAATTATATTACATTAGATTCCACACTGTACTAAGATCCTAGGAAATGTCAAAGGTTTAAAAAAAGTTATGGCAGAAAACTTTTCAAGGGGAGAATTTTAATCTATTAGCTTAATTTTATCTGTATCTTCAGAAAAATATGTCATTTTATTTTAGCAGATGAATGTCCTGTCCAACTTACAAGAAGACCTTGTTCGATAGGAACACAGTGTTTAAACAACTGAGTTTCACTTTTTTTCTGTGGCTTTATTCTTTTATCAAATAGCTCATCTCAATTTCTTTCTTTCCTGCTCTGAAAATGTCCTTGAGTTTTAAAATTTGAAAAGTGTGCTCTTGTCTTGTGGATATCAATCACATTAATCAGGAAAAATCTTAACTTCTTCCGAAAGAGGAATAAATTTTTAATTATGCTTATCTCCCTCTCGATCATCTTGGCAGCCACCGTCTCCACTGCCAAGCCAACGGTGTCCCACGTGCAGATAAATCACGATCACTACCCCAGACAGCGACCCTAAGCTGTGACAATGATTTTTACTATGTTTCTATTACAATAACTCAGTCATTGGGTGAGCACTACGGCAGGACATGTTCTCTTAAACATAGAACATGTAATTATATATATAATAAAATATCTTATAAAATTGCGTATGACTGGGATGATCAGGAGTGAGAATTAAGGTGTGTTACGTGATGTTTAAATTATTTTCAGCTAAGGACAGAAGCCATACCGGACTCCGAGTTTCCTCCCAAGTCACCAGAGGTTCCTCTTAGCCCTTTATCCTGGTACTAGTTCCTCATCTCTCCCACCTCTTCACCATGGAACATAACATTTGTCAAGTCTTTGCACTTCTTACCAATCTATATTCAATTCCCTGGTGATCTCACTCAGACTCAAAGTTTTAAATATTATTTATACAATGAAAATTCTCAAATTTCTGTTTCTCCGTTATACCTCTCCCTTGGATTCCACCTGTATGTCCAAAATGCCCCATCTCAAATTGTCAGGCTTCATCCAACCAACATGGAATAAAAGGAACCAGATTTACTCTCCTATTTTAAAATAACAAAAACGTGGACAAAATATATGATTAGTTTCCAAGACAATGAACAGCAGTGAACAGAAGAAGTGATTCCTGAATGAAGGGAAACAAATCAAGGTGAGTCCAGGCACTACCCTGGCTCACTACATAAGAGTCACACTGTCATGGGTCACGCTGCAAACGGGAGTAATCCTGGCAGACGCCCTGGAGGAACTGGGTTGAGCACGGGGTGACCAAGGTGACTAGAGTTCAAGGGACTGAAGAGAAGAGGAGCTGTCAGAGAGAGAATTCCAGACATTGTCAAAGGGTCTCGCTCAAGTGTGCCGCTGGGGTCTGATCAGCACATCCGCGGGAGAGCGGCTGCCGTGGGCTGGGGGCAAGAGCCAGGGAAGGAACGAAAAGTAACAGTGCTTCCGTGCTCGCACGGAGCCAGGCGTAGCGTCTGCTCCCAACAGCCCAGCTGGAAACCTCATGAATCGTGAGTCACTGCACAAAGCACAGGTCTGTCCATTGTTTCTGTAAAGGGCCAGAAATTAAATAATGTAGGCTTCTTGGGGAAACAGGATCTCTACTGCAACTACTCAGCTCTGCTCGGGGAGTGCAAAAGCAGCCGAAGGAATATGTAAATAAGTGGGTGTGGCTGTGTTTCTGTACAACTTTATTTACAAGTGCAGGCCGAGGCTGTGCAGACCCCTACAAGTAGTGGGAACTAATTAGCTCAGGCTAATCTTAGAAGCCTAACAAATCTTACCAGCAAGGCCCAAAGTGATTAAACTATTTCCAAGTAACCTCTGCCTCGGATCAAAGCTCAAAAATATTGATAGAGATACAAAAATATGCATGCACTACTCAATGGGTAAAATGCACAATGTCTGCCATCCAATCAAAAATTAATACGCATGCAAAAATCAATCGAAACTGATGCAGAACTGACATAGATATCAACAAAGGTATTAAAAGTTATCATAACTATAGTCCTATGTTAGAAAAGTTAAGTAGAGACTTGGAAGATACGAAAAACAAAATCCAAACTGAACTTCTAGAGATGAAAGCTATACAGGTTAGATATCACCTAAGAAAAGATTAATAAACTTAAAGGTATAGCAATAATAACAATCCAAATTGAAACACAAAGAGAACAGGTAATTAAAAAATAAACAGAGCATTAAGTAAGATGGGAGATGGTTTCAAGTAGCCTAATTTAATATACACTTAATTGAAGTCCTTGAAGGAAGAAAAGGAGGACAGAAAAATGCTATTTGAAAAAATAATGGTGGAAAAATTTTCTACATTTGATTAGAACTCCAAACCTGCAGATTCAAGAAGCCCAACAAACCCAAAGAACAAAAGCACGCACAACACCCAGGGACCTCATAATCAAATGACTCAAAATCATGGATAAAGGGAAATAATACAAGCGAGAATACCATGGAGCAACATCTTTAACGTGTGGAGAGAAAGAAATATCACCTAGGATTGCAAACCCAGCAACAGTAACTTTCAGTAGCTGAGGTGAAATGCTTCCCCAGACAGCGCGAAGAACTCATCACCAGCGAAACTACACTACAAGAAATGTTAGGCACAAAGAAAATGATACTGGATGAAAATATGAATATAAAAATGAAGCACGTGAGAAAAAGTAGCTACATGGGTTTAAGGTGTGGGTACAATGGGCATAACAATACAAACTTTTTCTTATCATTTAAATGTCTTTAAAAGATAACGGACTTTTTATTAATAACAATGGAGCTATGCACGTTCTGGCCTCCCCTAGTTCTGGCCTCCCCTAGCCTCCTCTGAGGGCTCCAACCAGGCTCCCTCGTCATGCTCTTCCTTAAACATTACAAACAGGATCTGCTTCCAGCCCTGCGGCCTTCCCTCTGCTCTCGGGCTGAAAAGGGATTTCTCCAGACTCCCTGGGGCCAGCTCCTTCACTTTCTCCACCTCTCTGCTCCCACACTGGCTTCTCAGTGAGGTCTTCATGAATATCCTTTTTAAAATTGTAATTGGCACCCATCATCACTAGTTCTCTGTATCCTCCATTCAGTTTTTCTCCATAAAACGTCTCACCCCCTCTATCGCCCTTTTGAGTGCATGATGTCAGTTCTCACCAACCCCATTAGAGCGTGAGCGCCAGGAGAGCGGAGGCTGCGGTCTGTTTGGTTCACTACTGTATCCCGGGACCATGGGGACGGACTCTGCCTGGCACAGAAGGGACATTTAATTTAAAAAAAAACAAAACACAACAAACTTTGAAATGAATGAATCTCAGCTTGCTTCGCTGCTATATTTTTGGCCACTTGGAGATTTATGAGCTCTTTTTGAAGTTTATCCTCATTATTGCAGCATTTTACTATCCCTCATGAGTTGACAGTCGTTTCTTAAACTTGGATATTTAACTACTGGCATCCCCAAATATTTAATTACTCTAGTAGAGAAAATATTTTTGGCAGATACATTTTATTTCTTAGTTCTAGTCCCGATTTATGGTAAAATGTTTTTTCTATTGCTGTAGCATTTTAATTAAATAGTTTTCCACTCCAAGGTATAACAATTTGTACATTGGCTAACTATTATGCTTAATTTCAATATAAAGTACTTCAGTTTGGCATAGCTACATACAGAACAAGTAAAAGTGATATATAATTTATTTTGTAAAATTTCATCCTATATAATAAAATTTCTGCCTCTGTTAACAGCCTAATGTTCATTTATAGCAAGTGTTCAAAACTCATTGGCAATATGAGATGCTATTTTAAAAAGATAAAGTCACCTGAGACTAACTTGAGGATTTAGGTGCAAGTTCTGGCTCAACACTGACTTCCAATCCTCAAAAGGTCTTTTGGAACAAACCAGTTCCCCTGGCAATTGGGGAGACACATTATAAGCTGTATATACCGTAAGAAGGAAATGGTAGTTCACCGTTAAGTAATCATTATACAACCTGTAAGCCATGAGTTATATCACAATAGTCTCTTCTTAATTTAAAAGTTGAAGTAAACTTTATAGAGTTCTACTGAAACCCAAATTTCCTACTATTTTCTCATGTTTTGAAATAACCGGTGCCAAATGGATTAAGGGGGTACTTAAACACGAAGTACATCTGCATTTGTTTTTCGATAAAACATTATGCTGGTGGAAAATGAACCATGAATCAAGTTTTTAGGGCTAATTCTTACTTTTTATGTGATACATATCTTAAAAAGGATTTAAAATACACAACTTAAAAGTATTAATATTTAATGGCTCCATTCACATGTTCCTTTGGCTCTACAATTATAAAGGTTATGTGATGGGCTATAAAACTATTTTTTCATAAAGTTTTAAGTTGAACATAAAATAAAAACTAGTTATGCTCTAAGAACAATTTTAAAATGTTAGTACATTTACTTTATCTAAGTATCAGTTCTACTGATCTGAGACTACATTATCTCTACTAGTGATAAAAATCCATCCAGGTAGCCAATATGTTTAATACATTCCTTAATCTCAAACTCTAGATAAATGTAGTAGTAATTAAAAAAATTAAAATTCAAGAAGTATTTTAAGCATACTGTGGAATATCTGAAATTTAAATATATGTTAAGTCCTTTTTGTAAGCTCTTTGTCTTGTATAGGTGGAAATGGTTTTATTCTTCTTCAATCAATCACGTCGCTTCTCTTCAGTACTGATTCTTTGCCTTACCATGGGGAGTCAACCAGTCACGTCCCTGTTTAGTTCTTAGAATCCTATTTTTAAACAGACGATTTGTAAATATAAAGTGCATAATGTACTTAATAAGGCAGCATGGGTCACAGGATACACAGGATATTAAAAATTTTGAATTAAATAGGCAAAGAGATGAAATAAATAAAATAGAATAAAAGTAGGAGGGAAGGAAAGGCAGGTTTAAATTATTACATTCCTCCTGGGAGGTTGATCTGTGCCATTATCAACGCCCCCCCCACCAGCCCCCAAATATCTCTGGGCTGAGCTAGTATTAAACACTTCCCTGGCCTCTTCCCAGTTCCAGTCTTTGATATCCAAATTACATATGCATTAGCACTGCAGGGAGACCTTCTGCTAAAAATATACATTGGGGGTAGGGGGAGAGGCTGAGTCCACCACTTTTCCAGGATTATTTTTAGGAACAGGCATTATAACAAAATAATATATATATTATTTTTAAACATGCATTTTAGTATGGGAAGACACAGTGACTTCTAGCGTGCCTGTATTGTGAATATTTATGTCTCAAGAAATGTTAATCTACACTGGAGCAAAGAATTTTGAATAAATTTAATAAATGCACAAAATCATATAAGGATATCATATCCAAATCTCAGCTTATCTTCAAGTTTCAAGGTGATGTAAGTCTGTTCTGGAATCCTTACATCATTCACAAAAGTCTACAAGGAAGAAAAACAAGGTGTTAGGTAACATATGAAGTATTAACTGTTGCATTTCAGACAAGCAAATCCTCTAAACGGATACTTAGAAGTACATATCATATGGTGGCTAAGACAGTCCGTGTGTCATAAAATGTGTCATGCATCTTATGCGCTGATAAAATATTCCACACTAAGCCCTTCATCTCTGTCACTGGTAACACACAGAGAGCCAGGCCGCGGTCCCTCTAAGGCCTGCCGCGTTGCCAAGACAGATGTAGGCACTGAAAATACTGCCAAGAAAACCTCCTAATCTGAAGCTGGCAAACTGTAAAGGATGCTTAACTCTCGATATCATCAGGATGTACTGAACTCGATTTTAGCTTTTTCAGACAATTCTAATTATTTCTGAGAGTTGCTATTTCATTACCTTTGTCGTCAGAGTTTTTCAAAAGAACAAGAAAATTTACTTTAAAAAAAATTGAATAAAACTCATTCTATTTTACAATTGTGATGATTCCTTTAGACCCTTTTATGAAATTTTACATTTTTTTGGTACTTTTTTAAAAAGCACATTTCAAGAGCTCAACAGCCACATGGGGCTAGTGGCCACTGTCCTGAAAAGCACAGACACAGCAGGATGATGCAATCGTGAAATAAGTCATCATTTATTGCACCAACCTTCAGTGTTCTTACTGCACTGCCCAAACTATTACACCATCTTTCCAAGAAAATATAAAAGACATCTGGAGACACTATCTGTCTTTTTTTTGTTTGTTTAGCTATCAACTGAGAATTCAGAATTTACTCATTGGGTTGATGAACACCCACTACAATATACAGATGATGTATTATAGGATTGTATACCTGACATCTATATAATTTTGTTAACAGATGTCACCCCAATAAATGCAATTAGAAAAGCAAAAATAATTTTTTTCATTTAATTTCCATAAAGGAAAGGAGAAGAGAACAGACAGATATTTCACAATTATAAGGTGAAGTCAAAAAGACAGCATCACTCCAGGCTCTAATAACAAGTGATAAAACTGATAATAATGTAAGTAACATATCAAGACCATGAGTCTTCAGATGAAGATAATCCTAAAATGAATTTTCTCTAATGTAAGAATTTCTCTAACTCGAGACAGAGTATGTTTCAAAGACAAAAAAAAAAGTACGGTATTTTTCATCCAGTTAGCCATTCAATACGAAGAATCACATAATGTTTTTCAACAAAAACCTAACTGAAACAATTATGTATTTTTAAAAAACTTATTGAGTGAATTCTTTCTCAATTTTTGGTGCTTTTGTTCCAACACTTATTCGGTTTAGTTTGTAAGTACTAAACAAATGCTCAAGGAAGATATTTATATAAAGGTTAGGTCACAAGCATCAGAAAATTTAAAAAATCCAGTCAAGAGTGTTTTAAACACCTAACGGTTTAGGTTAGATTTTGTTGAAAAACACTGCATGATTCTTTTAACTGTTGCTTATAAATCTAAAAATAAGAAATGTCTTGCAATTGTGGAAGAAAATGGTCATCCTTTTAATAAAATATTAAGCTGTCACATATCCATTTTGACAATGCAAGAGCAAGAAGAACTAGAAAGAATGATGAGATACCAGCTAGAGACGCACTTGAAATCTGAATCCGAAATTCGACATTTATAAAATGAATATATCCCAGAAGAATGCATGACAAATGATGAGCAGTTAGTGGAATTTAAAGAACATAAACAATTTTATGTATTATATACCTTTTAAAACCAGAAAAAATGCTATAAAAATTTGAGTTTGTCATGCTTAATGTTTTATTAAAATTTCACATTTTTCATTATCTTTTTATGCTTACATCTATAAGTTATTTGTAAAAAAAGTCAAAGGGTCCACAAGACACACAGTAAATAGTGATTATTTCTGGCATAATAGAAGTTAAAGACCTACAATTTGCTAGATTTATAGAACATATAATGAGGTTATAGTTAATTGCGCAGGATGCACACATCATATAAAATACACAACAAGATTTTCTTTGATAAGTTGAAACTTGGTCATATGTCACAGATACTAGTTTCTATATCTACAAAAAAAATTAGAAGTTGTGATCTTTATATCGAGCACAGATAACTTGGAGACACTGAAATACTGCTAAACTTAATATGGTTAATTTATGAGTAATCCCAAATCGCATGCATCCAACATGCTTCATAAAAAGGTCAAAATATTAATATAACGAAAACTCAAAAGCTTCAGGCATTTAAAACTCTAATTTCAGGGTCATTTCCAAAATAAAGTATTTTAGAGTGTTTTAAAACTTATACCTTCAGTTTACCAAAATAATCTATATAGAATTACAAGACAAAAAAAAAATGCTGAGATAAATGATAGAAAAGAGAAAAGAAAATATTAATTCACTAATGTGTAGTATGCAGAAGATAAACAATTAGGTACACTGTGTAAGAGGAATGTCACAGTTCCGAGTCAATTTTATTTAAAACTATCTCAATCTAAAACACCATATTTATTCAAAATGCCTAAGATGATCTATAAGATCCATTTTAAAGCTTAAGATTGCTCAACTCTCCTAAATATTAAGTACCTATTGCGTGTTTAACACATGGACTAGGTACTTTCAGAGATCAACAAACATAATTTTAACATGTGCCCTTTATGACAGAAATACTCCCTAAGGTCTAAAAAGACTTAGGAAATATGAACCATACGCAAAGTTCCAGCTCACAAAAAAGCAAGTAAAAGCAGCTGTGGGAAAAGAGTTTCCCGAAGGTCTGAAACTGCAAAAGGAGGAGAGAAAATTTCAAAGAGTAGCACATGCAGAAAATCATTTCATTGAAGAATTATAAAGCCTTTTAATAAATTAAATATGGAAAGAAAAAGAGGTTTTGTTTCTTATGTGTTGTTTGATCTGACCTCTACCTGAAGGCAGGACAGACAGGACAGCGGGCCACAGAGAGCAAAGTGACAGTCGAGATGTCCAGGCGCAGAAGAGGGACTGCGGAACCCGAGTCAGGCGTCTGAACTACAGACGTCAAGTCCTGTCCTCGTCAAGGAAGCCTGGGAGCCCAGCCCAGGCCCCAAACTCCCCCACGCAAACCCCTAACCTCACAGAAGCAAACTCAGCTAGATAGGCTCCTATTTGACTTACAGACAAGCTAAGTTACATCATTGATAGTATGAAATCTTAAAAACAGCCATGTAATATATCAGTTCTCCTGGAAATCTGAACGGAGTGCCTGGGAGCACCGCCACTGCAGTCACATCGCCAGTGACAAGCGTCCTCTTCTTCCCAGACCACTCGCCTGTGTCTTCCACGTTCCGTGCCACGCTGATCCCGCTGGCAGGCGCTCCAGTGTGGAAGAGGGTTGCAGCAGCGGCTGGAACGCAGGCGGCTCAGGGGGCAGCCTGGCGACAACAGGCGGGGCTGGAACGCACGCCAGCGGGACCGCAGGGTCTGCCGCCGTCAGCGGGCACGTGCTCCCGCGGCAGGGAGAACGCGAGGCCAGGAAGGGCCCGCAGGGACACAAGCCTCGGCGGCCCGCAGGGAAAGGGCTCCCAGCGCCAGCTGCGGATCCCGGGGCTGCTCCCAGGCAATGCAACCTCCTTCCCGGGACCAATGGCGTCGAGTTTAGGTCTAGGTCTCTTGGGGAGTGTATTTTAGGGTAAAATAAAAGAAACAAGGAGTGGAAGTGGTCCCAGGTAGAGTTATTTAAAACTGAGTTTAGTTTTAAAAAAAAAACCACAACAGTGCATTTGTGGAAAAGTATATAGATTTTACAGGGTGCTAAACTTGTTTTAACCGCTTTTCTTACCATAAGGGTGATGAACACTTATGAACGCTTACCATTAAAAACATTTTAATTATTAACTTATCTATAGCTTCACAACAGTCTGAGAGGACTACCAGTTTACTATTTCTATTTTTAAAAAATTGAGGAACAGAGTAATTAAGGAACCTGTCTAAGGCTACGCCACTTGTACAATTTCAAAGCTGAGCTCATAACCACTGCATGTATCCCCTTACTTCTGAAATTACTACTTGTAACCTGATGCTCAAGTCTCTAGAATTATATGAATATTAAGAGTAAGTAGGCTGTGAACAATAGTCTACACATTCTCTCATGAATAAAATGCATGATAGTTGTTGTTGTTCTCAGACTTTGGCAAATTTCCTAGGCTGTCATTTGGCTAATAGTACATTTATCATTTGTGTAATGCTTTGAAGTTCTGTAACAGGCGCATACCCATATGTACTGTCAAATTTAATCCTTTTAATGCTACAGAGAGGGAATTCTTGTTTCACTGTTTTAAAGAGGAAGCAAGGTAACTAAACGTTGCATTAAGTAATTAAAACTCAGAAACTTTAACTCATTACATTTTTCATACAACATTGGGAAGCAATATGAGTATGAGGAAACTGAAAGGAATTCAGAGAGATTAAGTGGTTTGTCCCAGATCGAGATTCAAATTCCGGTTCTGATTTCAAGTTCAAAATGCAGATGTTGCTCTCTGTTGAGTTACTGTATCCCATAAAATTATTCAACATGCTCAAATTATGAGAAAGGTCAGCCCAGAGTAACTTAGAAGTCAACATTTAACCTGATTTTTCAATCAACACTAAGTAATTTTTCTATATGGTCATAATCTCTTACAAATTACATGTGGCGTAATTCTCACTTATTATTTTCCAAGGTAATAACGTAAGGACACCTTTGAACAGCCCGGTGGTCAAGATCAAACTCTCTGATCTTAAAAACAGAATGTAACATTGTTAAAATGCTCTACATATAGAAGTAGATTAAAAGCTTCCTCTGTAAAGTTCCTCATATAGAAGATTATTTCAGTTCCTTTCAAAGAAGATTTAGTGGGTTCCTGCACCATGGAGAGCCCGGAGCTAGTCGCTATAAAAGCAAAGGACACAGGAACAGTTCAAGGGCTCTAATGGGGCGCAGCAACAGACTGCAAAAGTAGGCTTCACACAGGCTGAGAACCAAGCACCCCAAGACACAGAGGTGTAGAGAAGTCATTCTGCACACAGGACCTGGAAGGAAAACTGCTCGCTTCCTTCTATGTCTCACGTTAAAACAGTGCCTACCTAGTCTGCCTATCTCTTTCTACCTTAATCCATTCCCAATGTTAACAGCCTCAGCTAGTTACCCTTCCTAAATATTTTTTCTTTCCTTCCTTTGTGAAAAAGTGGAATATGGGTTTTACTTTTAAAAATAAGCCTGAATTTTATAAATGACAAGGCGGATGGGAGAAGTACCAGGCTGCAGGAACTCAAACAAATCCTTTGGAGGAGACAGGGTAGCATGAACAGCCGTTTTGGAGGCGTGGCAGAGGAAGAGCACTGAGCCGGCACCTGGAATGGATGATGCTGGCTGAGCCATTTCAGTTCAAACCTGGGGAAGGCAGGCTTCATTCTCTGTGCCACGGGAAACAAAGGCTTGAGTAAAACCAACAGAAAAGTATGTCTACAAAAGTTACCTCAAAGAATAAACATAAAAGTCCTTCAATAGCAGGCCAGTTCGGAACCAGAAAAAATGTTTTACTGAATTTGCCAATTTTCTGCATATGTTTTTGCATGTAATGTTTAATGTATGTTTGGAAAAGCAGAAGCAGTTAGAAGCAGTTGGGATACATTTAGTTTCTGTTACATTTGTGTTAAGATATTCAACAGCACAAATATGAACAATACTCTATTTGCTTATGTTAGCAGAGCCATAAGGAAATTGAGAAAAAATAAGATAAATTATTCAGTACTTCATCTTTCTCTTATTCTGTGGCTAGTTATGTTCTGCTGATGAATTAGGAAAAAAATTCACTGCAATAACAAAAGTATCTTTAAATTAGGAATCCAAAGCAACAATGATGAACACTGGTGTTTAGATCATATTTGTCCAGGTAAATGGGTGTGTTTCACTTCTTTCTACTCTAGAATAGGAGATCCTAAGTCCTCTACCATCTAGCACCAAACCACACTTCCGCCTTTATTTTCTAAAGTTAACCCACACTTCTCTGTCTCCCAAGAATGCTCTTTTGTATTCTCAGTGCCATGGCGGTTGATTGCTTTCCCACATATAAATTCAAGCCATTCGGTGGGGTCACGCTTTCGTCTCTCCTCCTTAAAGAAGACTTTCTTAAACATCACAGCTGATAACCAACAACCTTCTGAACTCTTGTATTTACTTCCTGGACAGCTTCTTGGGAACATGGGCTCATTTCATACTCTATTGTATGGCCCCCAAAGTGCCATGTACATAGTAAGTATTTAAAAGTAAAATGCAAGCAAAAGTAAAGGAAATAGAATAGAATAGAATAGAATAGAACAGAACAGAATACAATACAATACAAATAGGAAATGTAATCCGATTAGTCTTCATACAACTTTAAGCAAATAATCAAATAAGACAAGAAAAATAAATACTTAACATACCCCATTCAGGCTGCCCAAGTCTTTGACCAAATGTTCATCCGCAGAAGCATCGTAATTGATTACTGCATGCTGCTTATCCACGCTACGAGACTGAAAGGCATGTGTTAAAGTTAATAAATATAAGGAAATACCGGAATAGATAACAAGCACAAAAATTTCTGGCTAGATACTTCAATTATGTTAATAGGTTAGTAGATGAAGATAGGAAAGTATCAAAGTAGAAGTGCATTAAATTATACTTCAACTGTGTTACTATACAGCGCAAACTTGGCATCGCTCTCCAAAGAGGAAAGCGGCCATAATTTTAAGACACTCTTTCCTACCAAATTCACACATTCCACTTTTGAGAGAATTTAAATCAGCTGGCTTTGTTGAATGTATGAATATTTTGTTATAATTTAAAACTGTAATATGGAAATCGTGCAAATTATAATTTTATAATGTTTTATGTATATTGTAAAAAAAAGTACCCTACAGAATTTTCTTCTTTTAATACTGAAAACTACAATATAAATTGTACAAGAAAGGCTAAAGATTTAGTGAAAAGAGACACAGTGTGCCACGTTCCTGAATAAAATTTTCCTTTCTTCAAATGTGGATTCTCAATGGGAATCCATGAAAGAACTGAGAAGAGAGAAAGCCTAGGGTGCATGGCGCCCCACTATGGAGGTGGGAGAGACCAGTGCCCCGCGAATGGTGAGGCTCCCCAGTCTGGCCGTTAGGAGGGGCACCATCCCCGGCTGCAACATCGCCGGGAACAGGGAACCCCAGTCCTCACATGGGTGCGCTGATCAGTACTCAATGCATGCTCGCTAAGGACCCTCTCTCTGCCAAGCTCTTTCTCTGGGCAGCTCTTTCTTCTCCGACCGGGGGACCCATGTCAGGCTCCTTGGACTCTCAGCTTCCATTTGTAACTTTCCTTATCTCCATGTAAGAGGAGCCTTACCCTTCAAGCTCCTAAACAGCCATTCCCACACTTCCTGGGAGGACGCAAGGGAAGCACCTCTTCTCCTCTCTGATGAATAAGCTCCCCCATCTGAACCTAAGATATGGTCTATTTCCAATGGGCCTGTATCCAAACAGAATCATTACTGCCTTTTTCTCAGCTGCCATTCTCACCACTCGACCTCAATGAGGAGCCCGGAAAATCTCTGTACTGTTCTATTTCTCTCACCGAAGTTGTTTAATTAATGTGTCATTGTGTGTGCAACTTACTCATCTACTTATAAAGCTATATGGTAGCTTTACTTTTATTGTCTCAAAATTATAAAGTAAGTTCTTCAATTTTAAAGTAAACATGTAATGAGCATATACAAATTTGATTCTTCTAGGGATAATTCAGGGTTTCTCAGTCTCAGCGCTATTGATATGTTGGGCCAGCTCTGTTGTGTGTATAGCGGTGGGAAGAAGGATGCTGTCCACTGTTGGAAGTTTAGCAGCACCCCTGTGGCCCCTTGGTCCTGGCTTGTTGGATGTCAGCAGCAACCACTTCCAACCACCAACCATTTGTAATAATCACGCTGTCTCCAGATATTGCTAAATGTCCTTGAGGAGGCAGGATCCTTCAGTGGAGAACCGCGGGGCTCATAAACATGTCTCCTCTAAGGTCTTATTTACATTTTTTTTAACCAAAAAGGGGTACAGGAAAAAACAAGGGAATAAAATTCTAGTCTACATTGCCAGGACCTATTAAAATATCTAATCCTCAAAAATCTAAAGATCCGTTCTTCTGCTAATTATCTCACTTAAAAGTATCTTAAAAGTATTTGTTTTTTAATCCCCACCTGAGGACATGCTCATTGATTTTAGAGAGAGGAAGAAGAGAGAGAGACACACACACACACACACATCAATCAGTCACTTCCTGTACGCACCCTGACTAAGGATGGAACCTACAACCGAGGCATGTGCTCTGACCGGGAATCAAACCCGCAGCCTTTTGGTCTATGGGATGAGGCTCCAACCAACTGAGCACTGAGCCAGGGTTCTTACTTTTTAAAACTAACTCCTTTAAACCAAATTCAGTAAATACCAACGATGTTAAATTATGCTCAAACTACTCGAAGGTGTCATAAAGAACATCTCCCAAAGAAGCAGTACAACTAGTATCAGTATCACTGAAGTGTCCATGATTAATATGCAGTTTTACTTACACCATGCTAATTTTATGAATTGCTTACAAGTCTTATTTTAAAATTGCTTAATGTGAAACTTCTTAAGAATAAATGTCTCCACCCTTGAAATCTCATTTTTCAAAACACAAGGTCCAGCAGAGGTAACGCGTGCTTGAGTGATTGGTAGGGTAATAATATGGGTGTAATAATTTAGAGCTTTAATTTGAATATTTCACCTAAAATCTCATAGTGTGCTTGAGTGTGATATTATGTTATAGTGTTACCTGCTTATGATTTTGTAATGAAAGATTTTGTAATAAAAAAGGGGTGCTATTTGTGCCAAACCCTATATAATCCCCCAAGACTTAGAACTTATTTTTAAATGATTCAAGGAGAAAACTAATTAATTAAACTGGTAGCTAGAGCTAAAAGAGGGAAAGGCAGAAAGTTTGAATCGATATAATGTTCTTCTTCAAAGGAATGAAAAAATATTTCACACCCTTTCCAGATTTTGAGTAGACACAGAAGGCTGATTCCATTACCTGCAACATGAGCTCACAGTCATCTCTCCCGACAAAAATCATTTCTCGTGGCAGCCTGTGGCGCGTGCCTCCACTGCTCACCAAAAACCAGGATGTTAAGCTCATTTTCTGCTTAGCTTCTAAGTCTTTGGCAAAGCTACATCATCCTGCAGAGAGATGTTCAGAAACACACACATTCAGATATTTTTAGCATTAGCATCCAATCGTGAAACCCTATTAGTAGGTCTAAGAATAGAATGGCATTCAACACTTATCCCTCACCAGAGACAGTTACAGGTCCCAGAAATGACATATCTGCCAAATTCTCATTAGTAAAGTCCAGAGACTCTACTAAGAGTTCATTCACTTAAAAAGATATTAGGTAATTAACTTCATAGCCAACTTAATAAACATTTATCATCCTCCTGAAAGACTGAGCATCACTTATAAAGGTCTATATATCCTCAAGAACATGGTCACATTAATATTATGTTAACCCTCAGCAAACACTAGCAATGCTTCACAAGTAAATGTCTAACTTATAAATGATTTGAGAAAGACTAAATTCAAATGAATATATTTGATATTTGATTAAGAATAACAGAAACCAAAGAAATTGCTTCATTGCCTACAAACGTGGTCAGCTGCTAAGCTCATGGTGGCAGACTTGAGTTTTCTGAAATTCTTTTTTTCTTGAAAGCTCAAATATTACTGGCAAAAAAATCTTTTTGTCAATTCTTTTCTTTGGCATGAGAGGCTCGATTCCTGCCAAATACAGAAGGTCCTGACTTACATGGTTCCACTGAAGGGTTTTCAGCTTTGTTTTATGATGGTACAAAAGCCATAGGCTTTCAGTAGATACCATGCTTCAAATTTTGAACTTTGACCTTTTCCTGGGCTAGTGACAAGGAGTCCGATACTCTCGATACTCTCTTGTGAGGCCGGAGGGCAGCAACCAGCCACCGCTCCCAGTCAGCCACGTCCAATGAAAAGGAGGAACAACTGATACTCCACAGCGCACAGTGCTGACTCTATTTTTTTTTAATATTGTGTTTGTGTTTTCGCATCCCATCATGTCTACAAAACATATCTCCTCCTTCTGATGACAAAAGAAGGAAGGCAATCCCCCTTGAGGTGAAACTCAAGATAATTAATTGCCCCGCTGTAGTTTAAAGTAAGTATTCTGAGCACATTTAAGGTAGGGTAGGCCAGGCCGTGATGCTAGGAAGGTTAGGCATATTAAATGCATTTTTCAACTTATGATATTTTCAATTCACCATAGGTTTATCAGGATAAAACCCTATTGTAAGCTGAGAAGCATCCATACTCAAGTCTACAAACCAGTGTGTCTGTCAATCACTGATTTAAGTGAAAAATGGTGTTCTAGGAGAGAAGTGGCTAGTTCAGCTCAGAACTCAAACAGTGACGCAAATGCTTTTCCTTGAGACAACCTTGGTATGTCGGTATACAGCAGTGATTTTCAACTGGTACGCCATGGGAATTTTACAACATGCAATTCCTGTCTATTTAGTCAGGTGCACTGACCTCTTTTCCCTCAGACAGTCAGATAAAAGAAGGACAACAGCCAACACAACAATAGCTGTCTAGTATGAATGAATCAGAATCATACCTACTTTCTTTGTCAGATCAGCAAAAAATACATTTTTTGCGTGCCCCAGAATTTTAGTAATTAGCTCATGTGTGCCATGAGATGAAAAAGTTTGCAAATCGCTGGTATAGAGCATTAGGGCTTTGTATGCGTTTTCACTTAGTCATACAAGATATGAAAAACATGTGACTCGAAGGTCAAGATTAAATGAAATTAAGCATTTTTTACCACTTCCTCAAGGACATTCTCGAGTGCAAGTGGCACGCGCACAGCAGTGAAGAACACAATTACTAGCAGCCTCGTTTGGTACAGATGTCTTGATCTGTATGCCAAGGAGCCAGCGCCTTTACCTGCCCTTTTTTTGGTACTATCTGTTCAAATATCAATACAATAAACAAGGCAAATAATGCTTTGTATTATTATGAAAATAGTTTTAACCCCGTGACCTTGAAATGGCTTCAGGGACTCCCAGGGGCCTCGTGGACGGAGCTTTGAGAACTACTCTCCTGGTGGATGTGGCTGTGTCATAAAGAACATGAACCTTGGACTCAGAGAGACTGACGGGGAAGAATCCGACTCCTGGTTCCACCCCTTTTTATTCTGTAAGTTACCCCATAACCATTAGTCTTCTCTTCTATAAAATGAGTATAATGATAGCATCTACTCAACAGTTCTTTCTCATGAAATCAAAAAAGTAGTACCTGTAAATATTTTTCCATAAAACGGTACATTCTGATAGAATTTAATGAGAAGCGAACTATACTACAGTGGAATGAGCTATTCTGCAATAAGAAATAGATACCTACACTACAAACTACACTACAGCAAAATCTTGTAAAATGTTGAATTCTGTGTTAAGGTAAAATCCTATATAGTATAAATTTATCTACACATTCATGAAACAATGGGTTTCAACAAAACAGGCAAACATTTTCTGTAAAGTTAAAAGCCTTATTCCCTTTTCAGCTTATCTAATTGATATAGTCAATTTGTGTGGATTCTTAAATTTTCCATTCAATACCTAACTCCTTGGTGCAGGTGTTGTTGTTGTTGCTGTTTTTTAAAGATGTTATTTATTTATTTTAGAGAGAAGGGAAGGGAGATAGAGAGGGAGAGAAACATCAAAGCATGGTTGCCTCTCAAGCGCTCCCAGCTGGGGACCTGCCCTGAAACCCAGGCATGTGCACTGACTGGAAATGGAATCAGTGACCCTTTGGTTCACAGGCCGGCGCTCAATCCACTGAGCCACACGAGCCAGGGTGGTACAGGTGTCCTTAGTCTTCCACGTGTCTACTTTCTGTCAAATTGGTTTTTGGTATTTTATATATACTTCCTGGGCAAGCAGAGAGGATCAAACAAACTTTGCCCAAGAAAAAACCTCCCATCTAAATATAGTATACGATTTGCATACTGCCTTTTCAAGGAATGACAATTTTAAAACATGACACTAATAAGTAGGTCAATGGCTTTATGACTATTTAACAGCACTGAAGAAAACACATTACAGTAAGATGTTAAAAGGAAGTCAAATTAGCCTAAATAAACTAAAACACCCGAGCCAAACATAGGCAATGGGAAGAGTTCTTCAGCATTTTCAAAATCACAAAGTTATATGTAAGCATTATTCTTTTGCTACAAAAACATTGTTTTAAGCATTCAGAAAATATCAAGCATAATTATATAACATACAAATATATAATATACAGCTCCCATACAAACACATAATAATATAAAATAAAAGTCATGGCTTTTTATGAACTTTTGGCTTTCAATGAGGCTTCAAAAGGTAATTAAAAGAATACAAATTTTCTGAAAAACAAAAATAAAACACATAATCCTCAAGGTGAGGGGTACTGTTTTTCAGTTATTGGGGTGGAACGATGACCTTGAGTCCTTTTCTGTCTTATCTACAACGGGAGGGAGTGGGATATGACGGAAAGTATTAGCTCTCAGTTTTTATATGGGACTCTCTTCCAGACAGAGATGGGGTCTAATTTCCTACTCCATAATTCTGACTCATATTTGTTTTGGCCAATGGGACAATGTCAGTAGACGTGAGGGAAACAGAGGCCACACACTGTGTTTGGGCAACTGGGCCTGCTCCGTCCCACCTCTGCCATCATCAGTAAAAGAACGTGCTCTGGTCCGAGGTGAATGAGAGACATGCGGAGCCAACATAGACCTAAAGTACAGCTTGAAGCCAGGTCCTCACTAGGTCATCCAAACCCTCACTCAACAACAGACACACGAGCAACAATAACAATGGTTGCTGTTTGAAGCCATTGGGAGATATGAGGTGATAGGCTTCATCACTTTCATGCATAAAAGGTGAGTATAATATACTAAAATATGGTATCTTTTTAAAAAGTGCATTCACAATCCAATATACACACTTGAATGTTTTCAAAAATACACAAATGGAATTTTTGTTGAAGTTGTCTTTCTTTCCTGTGTTTACTCTTTTTAGGATGGTAACATTCATTGGTACGATTAAGCATAAGGCTGCTATACAAAACAGAATTACAACCCATGAGTAAAGAAAATTCGCAGCTTATTTTAATAAAGAATCCAACAACTGGAGAATCCCACAGTGGAAGAGGATTCATTTCACTTTTTCTTTAAGAAAAAAGTCAACATCTCTAACTTACTACCCCTACCCGGAAACAGTGCAGTAGGTCCGCAGGAGAATCTTACAGCCTCCCGCAACAGGGGGCAATAAACACACCGCTGATGTTACACGAGATGAGTCCAGAAGGCGTGATCTGCAGAATATTAATTTCCTTAGCTAAGGATGGCACGTTACCCCATCCTTGCGTGCAGCTGATGTCCACAAGGTTGGGGTCTCTGATTTATCAACTTCCGATAATGAACCCTGACTCTCCTGTGGGAAAGGGGGTTGGGGCAGTGGGCCCTACAGGGTCTTTATGGACTCTCAACTGACCGCGGTTTTGGTTCATGCCTGATCTCTGCCCCCAAGGTTCCTGATTATCTCAAATTCCTAAGTCTCGCCAAGATTCTGTGAAAATTCACTGATTTCTTTATACCTCCTTAGCAGGCACTTAGTTTTTCACTATCTTCCTTCAAAAGCTTCCTCTCTTCCAAAACTTTCTCAGCTTCATTCTTTCTAAGTGGTTTCCTCTCTTTCTTTGTCTTAGTGAAATTTTGGTAAGGAATAGAGAAAACTCCAGGGCTTCTATTTATTATATTTCTTGTTTACTTTTCTTAGTAAGAGAAATCAAAGGGATACCATTTCTAGCACAACACTTGATTAGTATTATTTTAGTTATTTGAAGCTTTCCCTCCTTCTGTGCAATTATATGTAGGTACATAAATATCCTGATTATCATGATATTATAGGTGCCAAAATATAAAAGCCTATCATTTTTTAATCCTAGCTAACATATGATTTTGAAATAAAATACAGGAGAGATAAAATAGAATAGCTATCCAGATTATAATATCTCAGTGACCATGTACTATCTCAATTTTCATTTTCATTATGTGTTGTAATTTTCCCTTTATTTCTTTTTTGCAGAATGAGTCAAGAATTTTACCTGC